ACGGGTTCAATAAAGAATTTGTATATTTTATTTTAATTGAAAGGAATTTGTTACATTTTATTAAGATAAGATTATAGATAAACTTTAAAAAAATGTTAACCCAAGTTAAATTTACTTGTGCAACGTTACTTTTTAAACATGTTGTCAAAATAATATTATTTTATACATTATTTTTATTTAACTATCGAATTTTTCACGGAGGGATCTCAATGAAGATGATTTTCTTCATATAACTTCCTCAGTCACAGTAATCCTTTTATGATATTCCTGTGGGAGTTATACCACAAATTATATTTGATTTGATAGTCGTGATCCTCGTCGTAACATACGATCCTATCCCGGGATTCTGGTAAAGTGAAATCAAAACATAATTACAATCTCGAATGTATTAATACAATAAACATGTAATTCAAATGAGATCAATTGAAGAAAAGAATAATATTTCAAGGATTTTATAACAGAATTATAATTTTGTTGCACAGTTACCTTATAGCACTGTATCGTGAACTTATTACTGCCACTACGTATAATATTGCCCCAACTACGATTTATATAAAATTAAGAATTTTGGAACATATAAAACTTACGTAAAAGTTAGATATGAATTTAATTTAATCAATGAATATTATTATTAAATACACTCTCAATAAATACAATTCATTGTATTCCGGCCATTGTTATCACTGTAAACATTTGTAATGACATCTAAGACTTTTTTTTTGATCTACTCCATAATCTAACCATTTATTTTGAGAATATATTTTTCCTTTATATTTTAATTTTAGTATTCACATTAACATAAGATGTATCTGTTTTTAATATTTGAAATATAAATAAGTATGTTCTACATATTACCGTGTGTATATGACCATAACAGGTTACGACTTCCAGGATACGTGCCAATTGATTCACAAAATAATAAGTATCGAGTCTTTTCTTAAATTAAAAATTAACAATTATTATGAATTTATCGTGATCCATACATTTGATTGGTTTGAATAACGTATCAATAAGGATCATAATACTTTTGTTATCAAAATCTATAAGGCGATAAATTCAGAATGTTTTAGTATAATTCATGTTATGGTAAATGTAAGAAATGGTTAAAGAAAAATGATTTCCTGAGAGATACAAAATTATAGTCGGGGTTCAAAACAATTAATTAATCATAATTCCACGAGCAATTCCTGGATTTTATGATAGTTATTATGTTCACCTTTAGAATATCATTGTTTATAGGTAAGGTAGTCCATTAAATAGGCAAATTTTAGTTCACGTTTCTAAAGGAGCAAATAACGCATTGTTGTTAATTTTTAGTGTAGGTTCAAGTTACGATTTGTTAGGTCACAGTTACTATCCTTTTACACTTCTATTAGTATTTATCAAAAATGGAAACATTATACAATTCGAATTATTTCATTCAAATCTAAAATCAACGGATTCTCTTTTGGGTTCAATAATTTCTTTGTCAAGTGATTTAACTATATGTCATTATAGCTTAAGAACTTTAGTAACGAGCAACGTTTGTAAGAGATATTAATTCCTAACCTTTGACTTTTGAATATCCAGTAACGAGAATAATAAAATGTCACGTTGTTAAAGCTAATGAGTTTTAGCGTTGACTAATTGTGAGATATATCAGTTAAGTTAGTATTTATAACGTGTTATAACAAAGAAGATACTAGTTTTGTAAATAAATATTATTGATAATAAATAGAAATAGCTTTTTGATTGTACAATTGTTCTCAATTTAACTAATATGAGTGTGTTTACTATCTACATATTTACTAATAATGATTGACATCACAGTTAACTTTCTTTGAAATTTAAAATAAGTACAAAGTATTTTCTTGATAACAAATTTAATTTTTAATTTCCGTATAAAATAAAAGATCTTATAATGTGCAACATATTGTATCTAGAATAGATTACTCTGTCTTTGATCGTATCGGCTTGAACAAGAACATAACAACCTGACAGTTTCAGACTTGTTTAATGAAAATCACTCAAGCTGTTCCAATGTATTCAGCTTAATTTATAAAACACCCAAAAATTCAAAAAAAATAATATAAAATATTTTTTACAACTTTATAAAATATTTTTTACAACTTTAGATTCCAATATGTGAACTGTTTTAAATGTTGTTTCAAAATTTTATAACAATTTTATGACATAAGTAGATATTTACATTATAGTTAAAGACATACACAGATAGGTGATATATGTATGTGTATATATAGGAGTATATGAATATTGGAAGTCAACTAGATTGATTCTTTTACAGTTACAGTTTACATAAAAATAACCACACAACCAGTTATAAATTGAATTCAAAGTTTATCACAATATACATATATTACTTTTTAACTATATTACTTTTTTTCTCCGCAAAATAAACAGTTTTTACAGAAATAAATTAATCTCTGTTTCAACGATTATCTATCCTTGTACGTTACAATTTGTTGCCTCTTTATTTCTAAGAATAAGATGATTAGTTTTCCTTAATTATTTATAAATACTTTAAATAAAATAATATTCATCCTGTTTTCTTTACAAAAGATTGTTATGAAATGTTTAAACATGATAATATTTTTTATTGTAGTCCTATTTCGACTAAAGTTCTATATACGTACATACTTATTAGTTATCTTTGTTATGTCGATATTAGGATTTTTTGAGCAATATTGCTAAATCTTCTGTGTCATTATTGGGTAGGTACATTTAAGTCACCTTAAATTATTATATACCTATACAGATTTTAGTTAGAGCAAAAATTTAGAATCCACTATTATCTCTATAATCATCGACAGTTTGTTATAAAATTAAATATCTTATTATTTATTCAATTCGTCGAAACTATACAGCTAATCCCGCGTGACGTGTAGTAAATAAAAAATGTGAAAAATAAAAACACTTTAAATGTAAGTATTTCGAATGGATAATAGGGAAAGGAATAAAAGAACGAATGAATTAATAAGGAAATTCTTAAAACTAGATTTGCAGCATTGTCTATATTCTTATAAATATAGCTCTGAGAGTTATTTTAGTTTATTTTCATAGCGCAAGTACAGTTTTAAAGAGACATACAGGTTATATTTATCATTAAAAGTTGTATAACAAAATAAAACAATTTTGAATCGATTGCAAAGAAGAGTAAGTTTCTCAATAATACCACATTCTTTCTGTGTTTGTGGATAACTTCATTATTTATGAACCTTTCTTTGCTGTAAAATAGATAGATGCCAATGGGATGTCCCGTGATATGGACACTACGATCTTATGATCAAATTTTGGATAAATCACTTCTACTTTCTAATATCGTAGCTTATTTTAATATCTGTCTGCTGTTCACCATCGTAGTTCCCGTTATCGCATTGTTTTGGGAATAGAAAGTATTATATATCTTGTTAATTGTATTTAACTATCCAATTCTTATCAATCTCAATCAATCAATTAAATCTCATTCAATAACATATGGATAACACAGCAAAACAAAAAATATATCATAGATAAGAGTAGAAGGTATTCAGTTGAATTTTCCAACACGAACTTCACTTTCCACAATGGACCCAAATCATAGCTAAAAGTACGAAAAGTAATGTAAGGATATTAAAATATTACGAAATAATAAACAAAATATTTTATTTACAACGACAAAACATAATAATACATTATATAGGGTGGCAACCGGAGGTATTGAAATAAGAATTACATGTTAAAACTTATAACCTTTACCTGAGACTACATTATTACCCCGATGTTAGGATGACAATAACATTCTATTGCTTGTCTGGTGTAAGGAATCTTCTTGTTCACACGGCTTGGTGTTCGTTCCGCGGAGTCAGCGGCGTCACTCGTTATATGATATTTTACCGATATAAAGATGTAGCCCCGGCGACGTTCATTTTTTTTCATTTGTAACACGTACGTAACAATTACATTATTAATTGTGTCATGAAGCAAATTGAAAATAATAGCAAAAATAGTCAATTAAGCAACATTAATGTTTATTAAAGAGATAATTTTGTTTGTTGATGACTTCTTATGGTGTTACAAATATGTTCGCTCTGAAACGTCGGTGTTATTTTCTGAGGGGAAAGGTCCCTATTGTTTATTTAACAACCGGTGCACTATCGGTTTAAAACAAAAGAAATAACTAGGTTGAAATTTATATCGCCATATTATTTACAATGACTGAAATCAAATTGTTTATTTTTTACCATTGAATTACTTTTAAATTACATGTTATTTTTATTAATTTTTTAACATTTAATTGCTGGTATTCGTCAACATTGATATTTTATATAGCTTCACCTGAAATTTTTTTTTTTAAAAAGCTGGCGCCAAAGTTATATACGTCATGAGAATATATTTTATTATCCTCTTTAATAAAACAAACAACAGCCAACCGGTCATGAGTCAAGATGTATATGTTGCGGGTACTCAAAATTTATAATTAATTTTTTTTGTCCTTTAATAATAATTGATACTCCAAAACAATAAAGTATTTCAAAACTAAAATGTTACTGTTTAAAATTGAATATAAAAGATGAAAGTAAAGTTGACGCTACAGATTCCTGCTTTTGGAAGTCGGTTAAAAGTGTTGTCCCTTTGGTTTTCATGATGATTTTTGTATTATAATTTCTACTGTGATTTTTGATGCTTAACGAAATTTTATAGACGAAATATTGATTTATTACTGACTTTCTATGACTCCGACATGACAAAATTGAGGTCGCTGTAGTAGTTAATAAAGAAATATAATTCATCGTTACATAGTACAATAGTCCGTGAAATTATATTCGAAGGATATTACTAACTTACACGTATATTATTATAATATATGTAGATACGTATCAAGTTAGTATTCAAATATTGCCGAAGCTAACTAAAATTATTTCATTTCGTTCCTCACAGACGTTCAAACACTTTTATTTATAGAGGAAGAAGATTGTTGTAAATAATAGCGAACGATTTAAATATGTATAGTCTTATAGGAAATGAAGAAAGAAATGAAAATTTTTGAAAACAGTCCGACTTGTGTCATTGGTAAGATGCTGTTACGAAGTTGTATCTTATTATTATGTACGTCTTTGGTTAAAGGGGGAATAGAAGATATTCGTACGAAGGATTCGAAAGGAAAATGCATTGGCAACATAGTCAAAAAGTATTTCAAACGTAGCAACACCATAAGTTTGGTTCACATGGGAAATCATAACGAGCTTGTCAAAGTGTTGAACACAATGCAATTGAAAACAATAATATCGCGGAGTCCGCAAAGTAATATGACTATACTGAATGAACACTACGTAATTGATGCAAACAGTTCTACGTATTTTATAAAACAGTTCAGATATCTTGTTTATGAAAGACGCTGGAATCCTACCACGCGATTCTTAATTCTTATAAAAAACCTCAACGTACACGACCTTTATAATGTATTTGATATTTTACTAAGGTATCACGTCATCAATATACTTATCCTGAACAGCACTGCGGATCCTGACATCTACACATACAATCCATTCGAGAACTTTGGATGCGGTCGACGATACGATAGAATTATTGATTTGGGGAAATGTTCTAAATCGTATACCAAAGACCTGTACCCTGACAAACTAATAACTGGCTTAAGGAACTGCACTTTCAATGTGGCGTCAACACATTGGCCACCTTTCTCTATAAAAAGGCCAATTAATAGTACTTATATAATGGTCGGGATAGAAGAGTATATATTCAGAATAATAAGCCAACTAGAAAGTTTCAATATTAACGTAACTTTTATCGGTGATGGAGAAAAATTCTCGACAATATCCGAAAATATGTCAATTGATGGACCGTTGAGTTTTGTACAAAATGGAGCCGACATGGTATTTGGTGGACTGGTGTTAGTGGAGGCAAGGACGGACATGTTTGAATTCATATATTTACACCTGTTGGACCAAGATTCGCTCGTGTACCTGGTGAAGAAAGCAGGGCGTGTGCAGCCTTGGAGAAACATGTATTTGGTATTCCAAGTAGACGTCTGGTTAACGTTATTCCTCATATTTCTATTGTATTTTCTGCTATTCGTTTTATTTTTTCGCCCTAAGGATAAATCTTGGGTTGTTCTGAAGATGCTATCATTCATGTTTAGTAGCGGCACAGGTATTCGGGGCAGCTTTTTCAAGAGATCCATATTCATAGCGTGGGTTTGGTGTTCTTACTTCTTCAGTAGCTACTATCAATCGACCTTCTCGAGTGTCACGACCCACCCATTAATGGAACATCAAATCGCTACCGTGGAGGACCTGGAAAGATATAATCTGAAGTCTTGTGTGAGTGAAACCATATTAGACTACATAGAGGCAACGTTACATGATAAACAGCGGTTTGAAACACTTGAACAGTGTAAGTTATATTTAGACAGCATACAATTTGTCAGTCAGTCGGAGCACGAATATTTTACGGTTGTGCATTTTCATAAATACCAATATTATAAATTAGACTATTACAACGAATACGGAGAGGAAACGATGTACAAATTAGACAAACCAATTTACAGTTCCTTGAACTGCATTTACTTCTACAAAGGTTTCCCATTTATCGACAAACTTCAAATGTATGCGTTGCGAGTGAGAGAAAATGGTATGATCAACGCTCACATGTCACGACTGTATAGGGAGTTCCAAATACATTATAAGTTTAAAACCAAGGATAGCAAGGAGTTAGAAGTTCTAGTGCCGTGGGGTATATTAGGATTAGGATCTTGCCTGTCGACTCTTGTATTTGTGGGGGAGATTTTAATTAAGAAATTTAACGATAAAAACAAGTCTAAGTAATGGATAAATTGAAATCAATCTATTCTTTATTCGTTGTTTTAATAAGACTGTGTTAATGTGTGTGCAATTTTTAAAATGGTGTCTCAAAATAGTTATTCGCTTAGAATCACAGATTTCAATTATGATTAGCAGTTTATAGTCTAAGAATGTGTTTTTTGAGTGTTGCAAGCATAAATAAATATTAAAACTATAAAAGAATAATTTTTACATTATTTATGAAGATTTTAAAAGAATGTGGTATATACGAGTATCTTCTTCTTCCACTTGGCAATTTCCCAGCTTTAGCAGGGTCTGCCTTACATGTTGTGAATAGTTTTGGCTAATTTTTTTTACGACCGGCCGCCTGCCTGACATCAACCCTCTTTGGGAATGCATTAATCAGTGATGTATAAATACTCTTAGAAAGTACATATGACTCGGAAAAATCACATTGGTACTTGCCAGGGCCAAGATCGACCCCGCGCCCTCGTGCATGAGAGGTAGCCCTATATACCTGGTGCCCGGTAGTATATACGAGTATTTAAACACAAATAAGTAGTCTATAAATTACAGCTTGTTTTTATAAATAAAAATGTTTTATAACGGCAAAAAACACATTAATGAAACCTCATTGTATGATATGAACTGGTCCAATTGTTTTCAACGTCTTCGCAATTTAAATATAGTTTACAAAATATATTGAAGGACGAAACATAAGTAACTTTCATATTAACTTATTCCTGCAAGAAGTTATCAGATAATGTTTCATTATAACTTATTAACTACCCTCTGGTAACAAGGCAATAGCATATAAGCGTCTTTTATAGGGTAAATAGGTTTTGCCAGCGACTTCTTCGGCGCGCACTTCGTGTTTACGAACAGAGAGTAATGTAATGCTTTTAAAAATTTTAAGGGATCTGATAATCTACTAGCAATAAGTTTTACAATCTTTAGCACATCACGTCTAGGAGCTTGTGTACAATACATCTGTTATGTTTGCTAATAAGTATAGCAATATGTTAAGCTATACAAAATTTTATAAAATCCAGTTGAGTATTTTGTACACGAAGAAATAACTATCATCCTTACATACATACATGATCACAAACTATTCTAAGAGTATTTATAACAAATGAGTATTTATAACAAATGTGTTATTTTTATCATAACATTTAAAGAAGAAAAGTTACAAAATTGCTAGCCTTACTAAATATAGAGTACCTTATTTTGAGTTAAAGTCCTTACATATATGTATAGTCATATTACATATAGATGGAACGAAAGAAGTTTTACTTCAGTCGTGTGGTCTAAAGCACACTGGCTTAGGTTTCTTTTAATCTTAAGCATACTTCGCTATCTTAGAATCGTATTTGTTTTTTTATTCATTATTCTTCTTATAATAAAACGATGTTCTGAAGAAACTGTAATTATATATATATAAATATAAACAATATATACATATATATATATATAAACAAGGCGGCATGGTCATGTTTGGTTGTTTAAATTTAATTTATCTAAAGATATCAACAAAATATAAAGAATAACATAAACATTAAACTTAATGAATTTAACTGGAAATAGGCCGCAGACAAGAGCTTGTTAATTGATACATAGTTATGTTATTACAAGCTGACGGTAATCACACATAACGACCACTTAGTTAAACTTGACTTTTCTCACGATCTCTAAATTGATTCAGGATATTGTGTAATATTTTTTGATGGTACGATCTGTAACCATTAATTTAAAACTAATAAAATATATGACGAAAAATCTTTGATATTACAAAATTATATGATTTCGTTAATTGTAAAATATTTAAAGGTGATAAAATTTTATTTTAAAATAACACATAAATAAAATGCTACTTATGGTTACAAATGATGAAGTACAAAAAGTAACATGAAAGACGTGCATTTGTTACAGTACATTCTACAAGACTTACAATATTCTATAATATTTGCTACAAAAATATGAGTAATTTAATAAAAGTAAATATATTTAATTAAAACAAATCTATAATTTTGTATTTAAGTACAAAGCGAAAACGTCCATTATATACTGTTCAATACGACTTAATTCGGTATTGTTTATGCATACATATATCAACTAAACTTTGTGTTATAAAACACAATTAGCAATCAGGCAAAAATTAAAACTATCAAAGATTTTTCATGTGACTATCTTAGATGGTAAGTTACCTACACAAGGAGCCCTACATAAGGAGCCTTATAATGTTTTGTTAAGAAAAAAATTTAACTATAGAATTTTTCTTGAAACACTGAATTATTTTATGATTTACCATGTGAGATTGGAAATTTAAGAGAATGGCTGATGGTTGTAGCATGAGTTAAGTTTATATAAAATACATATCACGTTGCATTCTCATATAAAATTTATATATCATGGCACTCACTTTACCAAATAAGAAGTCGTGCTGTGACTTAAGTCGGTAATTTAAGCTACATGCACATAGAGCAAACTTTACGTTTTTATCGAGACGGACGTAAGGATATAAGCTTATTCTGAATTTCATATAAATTTTTCAGACAAAGTAAAACTTTTATGAATAAAAAAAGTGTGATGTAACGTGATTTAATTATTAGTATATATTAAAATGTCAGTATGTATATATATATACATTATAAATATAAAGATTAATTTTACAATTCCTTACTATGCCAAGGAGAATATTTAATTTTTTTGCAAAAATATAAGTTCTTTTTCCGCTTCAAAAGAAAATAATCTAAAGAAGAAAGGAATCTAGAGGACATTAAATCGGCCGCTGCCACGGTTTCCACCTATTAGATAGTCATGGCAACCGATTCGTCGTGTTGCGGTATGTTTTTAATTTGTTATTTTATATAAATGGTTGCTTCTGATTTCAGCCGAATACGATACAGCAATATTTTCGTTGCATCAATTACTTGGTTATAAGAGGGTGACGGAAGACAAAGAAGACTGCTCCTCTCGTCTTTCAAAGGCTGTAGGTCAAATTAATCTACTCAGCCTTGGGCACTGTTGTAAATTAATCAGCGTATCGTTATTTTATAGGATACACTTTGAAACTTGTGTGAAGGAATAACATGTTTAATTTTTTCATCCTTATTTTACTATGGTTCACCAAAAGCATAACGAGGGTTCATTTTTTCATTGACGACCTTCCTCACACCCGATGAAACTTCAATTATGAGTGGGGTGTTTTGAATTATGTGGCTAGAGTTAGGTAATAGTTTGCTTCATAAATAGTTAATCTTAATATGTACATATTATATTGTAGCTTGGTATGAAGCCATTGGTGGAATAACAATCAAGCAAAATCCAGTTATAATTCAAAAATAAAAGTTTTATACATACACATTTTTACAAGTGTGAAAAACTAATCTACAAACTCTTTTTTCCAAGGTTCAGTTATTAAAAGCAACATTTGTTTACAAAATATACGATGAGAAAATTCTTATCGTATATTCGTTCAAAAGAAGAAAATCTGTTTTATATAATATTACAAAGCAACATTTTAAAATAAACAGTGGGTGCTTTAAGATTGCTAAAGTAATTAAAATTTCATTCACTCTTTCGGTCATGATAGTAGTTGCAATTAACTACAGTAATTACGAAGGATTGGAAGAGTTTCATTTCGCTTACACAATGGTTTAACTAAATTTTTCTTGGAAACAAAATAAATATTATTGCTGGAACGAGTATATCTTCATTAAGAATTTGTAACGTAACTTGGCAGTTTTTTATTATAAGGCTTAAAAAGACTCTAATGTTATAAAAACTAACTTTATATACAAGTATCCGGTACACAGCAAAATTTTCTTGTCAAAGACAATAATGTTTTATTAAGTCTACAGAATTCTTCATGTCATAATCGCAATTATAATATAACATATAAGTACAGTTAATGTTAGTTACCATTTAAAAAATTGTAACCAGTATAAGAAAATCCAATATAGATTTTTAATATCAGTAAATTTTGATTTTAAAAAGCTGTTTAAACATTTAAATCAGATTTGAAAGGTTACCTTAGTTATAACTAAGACACGTACAGAGTCACTTACACTTTATCCCTACTAATATTATAAATGCGAAAGTAACTCTGTCTGTCTGTCTGTCTGTCTGTCTGTCTGTCTGCTACGCTTTCACGCCTAAACCACTGAACTGATTTTAATGAAATTCGGTACAGAGATAGAGTTGACCTTGAGAAAGAACATAGGATAGTTTTTATCCCAGACTTTTGAAAGGTTCTCTTGGAAACGCGATATAACCGAACTCCACGCGGCGAAGCTGCGGGCGGAAAGCTAGTATACAATAAAACGTTGCTTACTTATAAAAAAGCATAAAATGTGGGTGATTAAAAAAAAAATACTTATTTGATAAGGAATAACAATCCATTATATCAATACAAGAATTTGTTTTTTCAAAAATGATAGAAGTAAATGTTAAACAACCGTTACAAGCAGATAAAATTTTATAATAAAAAATCTTCCATAGTCATGTTCGTATGAAGCTGGTAGATTGAATTAATTACTTGCGATAATTTCAGCAATTAAAGTTGTTTGCTCGTCGAATGTAATATAAACGAAATGGTCTTGTTTCAGTACAGTTTTTTTATTTAAATTATAATTTATAATAATGAAATAATCCACTTTGGCTTAAAATAGTAATCTTAATAAATTTAATACACACACTTGGAACATGCGAATTTGAAAGTTTGTAGCGGATAGATTAAATCGTTGTTAATCTTTTGCATAAAATATTCGAAATTATGACGAACCAAATACATAAGGTTGGTTTAGTTTCCATTACTGTCTTACAAATACTATTAAGGATATTTAAGTATATTATAATGTTATTCTATGAATATACACAGATAGGGATATACTGAATTTTATGTTGCCAAATTCTTCACTTCTCTGAAAATATTTCATCTACGGCCACATATACATTGTTAAGCATTTCCCAAAGATTACTGCATTAACTTTTCTTTATTTTCATCAAACTAAACACGGAAT